GTCCCCTGTGGGGGCAGCTGATGGGTTCTCAGTGTTTGTGACAGCAGTTCGGGTGGCTCTTTGGTCTGTGTTTGATTGATCTGGTGTGGGGATCTCCCCTGGGATGGTTCCAGGGATGGGGCAGTGACCACCTCTCTGGGCAGCCTGGGCCAGGGGCTCAGCACCCTCAGTGTCAAACATTTCTTCCTTCTCTCTAGTCTGAATCTCCCTCTTTGAGTTTAAACCATCCCCCCTTGTCCTGTCCCAACAGCCCCTGCTCAAAACCCCCCCCAGCTTTCTGCCAGGTCCCTTGAAGTCCTGAAAAGCTGCAAGAAGGTCTCCCCAAAATAAATCAAGCCCATAGTAAACATTTCCCCAACCCACCTGGAAACACCCAGGAGATGCTCCGTGGGGGACAGGAGACTGGGAGGGTGTCTAACTGGGAAGCAGCTTCTCACTCCAAAGCTGGCTGCTGAGCTCCAGGGGCCGTTGCAGGGTGTGGGGAGGGGACACAGCCGTGGTGCTCAGCCCCCTCTGAAGGGACTTGTCCTCCTCCCCTGCAGGTGGGGATCCTGGACGTGGACCTGTGTGGCCCCAGCATCCCCCGCATGTTCAGGGTGCAGGACAGTGACGTGCACCAGTGTGACAGTGGGTGGGTCCCTGTCTTTGTGGACCAGGGCAGGAGCATCTCCCTCATGTCCATCGGGTTCCTGCTGGAGAAACCCGACGATGCCGTGGTGTGGAGAGGACCCAAGAAAAATGGTACGTGGTGGTGGTGGCCCTTTTCCAGTGCTAGGAACCTTCTGGGAAGCCTCCTGGAGGTGGTGCTGGCTCCTGCTGGGGAGCTGGCTTCTTGGGGCAGGGGGTTCCGTGGAGGAACGGGGCTCCTGATGTCCAGGGGGTGGGTTCAGGTCGCTCGGGTGGGGAGAAGGTGGCACGTGGGGTGGTGACAAACAGCCCTGGGCCCTTGTCACCAAGCCTCACCCACAGCTCCCAAAACACCTGCTGGATCCTGGGTGTTTGTTGCTCTT